ATGTGTAAACGAGTTTCCATACAAATTTTGACAGTTCATTTATAAGGCTTACACAATTATAAGTTTATACGGTTTACAATGCATTTATAAGGTTTGATAATACCCTTAATTTTTCGTAGAAATGACATAAAATTCTTGAAAAACAATATTTTTCGACCAGAAAATTCTGGTTCTCTTCGGGAATACCTAATGGTTTATTTAATCATTTTTTAATACTATGGACTTTTTATTTATCTCGCCATTGCATTTTCGGGGGGTTTTGGCGGACCTCCAAAATCTAGTTACTATGAAAAAATGGTTAAATAAATGAGAATAAACGGGAATCTCCTGAAGAAAAACAGAGTTGTCTGATCGAAAAATATTGATTTATAAGAATTCTATACCATTTCTACGAAAAATGCATGGAAAACTTTGAGCGCCTTAAGCGACCTATTTTTGATTTAAATATAATTTGATTTCGATATAGAATAATCCTAGGTGGTGAGAGCATAAAATTCCCACTTTACTTTGTCACATGCATTTTTTTTTGGACCACCCTAATGTACATATGTATATCATTTAGTGGTTAATGTTTCTTGGTGGTGTTTGTATTAAATATTGTCCTGCAACGAAATAATATACGAATCCAGGACGTAACCGACAGTTGGAACGCATAAAAGCGTGCAAGCGAAAGAGAAAAAATAAAACGGGCGAATGAGTTCAGCAAATGCTCTGTCAGCGCGTCCCTGTATTTCCTTTAGTTGGCCAAAGCAGTTGACAAACTTTCAGTTGCGCCGTAGCGTTTAAACGGCTAAGAGGACTTTCATCGACATAAACCTAATCGACTAATACTTTATTTTATTTTGAGTTTGGATTTTAATGCAGTTGCTGTGGTGCAACATGTATCCCCAATCGGAGTTGGATAATTACAAACTGCAAGTGGATTTGTTGCAAGAAAAGCTCAAACAAAGGTAATGCGAATAAAAAGTGTGTTAAAGTGTTGTGAGTAGTTGGTTTTTTAAGTAATTTTTATGTGGAGAAAAATGGATTATATAATAAACATGATGACGGTCACATGACCTAGTTAAGGCGAGTGAAATCGTAAGAGGCGATTAATTCTCCTAACAAATCTATGATATTTTTTCAAAAAAAAAAAAAAATATGCTGCTGCTGTTAAAAAATATTTAGTTGAATAGTTGGAAAACATGCGTTGAAGTGGGCGTGTAAGTGAGCTGTTGAGATGCGATTAACTGCAAATGAGTAGTAGTTCACAGATATTAAAGATAGACTTACTGCCACCACTCTAAACCGAATCGTATGTACGTGTTCAACAAAATATTTATGTATAACAAAACTTTTAAAAAGTTAAAATTATTAAAACATTTAGCGCTTACTAGAAAGTTCCACAAAACGTTGTCAAGTGTATTTCAAGAGCAGACAAAAACTACCGTACAGTGAAATAGTTCCAGCAGATTACTACACCAAACTTAAAGAAATTCTTCTAAAACTGTAAAACTTTTATGGGTTCTGAAGCAAGTGGCTTTTACAGGTCTATTGTGAGGTTAACCATGGAGAGAAGTTTTCAATGACCGGAAAAAGATAATAATCTAAGAGGTCAAAGGCCATGCTATCCACGATGGATGCAGCTAAACTAACTAGGCTAATTTTTGCAAATTTGTGATGTTGCAGTTTTTGTGGCAAAAAGTCGTTTCTATTCAAAAAAATACGCTTTCGGTCCTTGGCATTTCACAAAGAAAACTTCAAACCAAAAAACGATATCTTTGGTTTTTGTAAAAAAAAAAAACAACGAAAACTGCTTATCAGGTGGTCAAAGTCGTTGCGTGTCAGTGAAATAATGGAGTCGATTTTGTGTACTAATTTTTAGCTTTTATGGCGGTTCGCCATATTTAAGTTAGTAATTAAAAAAAAAATAATACAAAAATATAGAAAATAAAGCAAAAAATGAGTACTTTTGAAATCTGTAACTGTTTTCTTTTTAATTTTTTTTTTTGAGAAAAAAAAACATACTTCTGACATAACCTTTGAAATTTTTTTTTTACTTAAAAAGCTTCTAAAATGTTGGTTGTGCTTGGACTTTCAAAAACATGTACATAAAATGAAAAATTTTTAGCTTTGTTCGTCAATTTCATGTTGAGTTTTCTGTGAAAAGGGGTTTTTTTTTAATATTCTAGATACTGTCGGTGGTGAACTATTTACCGTTTGGCGGAGAGTCAATAAGAGAGAGTCAATAAAGAGAGAAAACAATAGGCTGTTTACAATTTTGTTGCTGCGGATGCTGCTCCTTTTAATTTTTTAGCGGACAATTTTTTTTAGCGCAAGCTCTCTGGGTTGACTACTCATTTTTGATATTCAAAATAACGGTGCAGATCCGATGATCTTCACAAAAAATGCCTTCGCTACATACATAGATCTAAAGATATTTATGTACATAAATATGTATGTTATAGCTTTATAGATATGACTTTTCGAATAGGTGGCAACCATAACCAAGAACATTTTCAAACTAAAACCACTTCAGTTCTTTGCACTCTCGTCCTTCTCTATCTCTTTTCCTTCTCTTGAACTAACGTTTCTGCTCCCTTCTCTTCGCTTAAGGCATTTTAACTCTCTCTCTGCCGCTTTGAATAAACCTGCGTGGAACTTCCTATAATTCTTAAAAGTTCATGGGTTAAAATGTCCCTCGGAAAATTTGTACGCAAGGTATCTGAAGGAAGAATTATATTAAACCTATATTTATATGTATTATCAAATGCATTATTATTGGATTTAAGTTATTTTGATTTTAGCTTTCACTATTTTTTTACAGCGAAGAAAATCGACAGCAGCTGCAAAAGGAACTTCAGCAGATTTTACTGCGACGGAGTGAACAGTAAGTAGTCTAGGTAGTCTTTTTATTGACTGAACAAAACCCATAGCAGTCATTCTTTTCTTCCCAATTGACAGTGACAAATCCGTGCGCACAAAACTACGGCAAAAATACCAAAGTTTTCTGGATGAGCAGGAGCGGCGCAATGAACGCAATCAGATGCTGATGCAAATGCTCGAGCGAATAGATGAGCAATCGGCTGCTTTATCGGCACGTAGCGAGAGACTCAAAGGCATGAAGGTGAGTGAGATTTAGTAAAGTTTTCTTTTTCAAGACAACAGATGAATTTGTAATAATACCTTCACCCTATCCTATGCAGCTTCAATACGAGCGCTATTTTGCGAAATTAATGCAAACACAACCTGTGCGCTGCATACAAAATGCGACTGTAACCACTGGCGTTGGGGCGGAGGTCATGTCAATGCAAACAACAATGCCAGCCGCGGCACAAATACCCGTGCTATTGCCCGCTGTTGCCCCACAGCTTCCAACAACTGTACAGCCTACTACCACAGAGCGTAGAAGCGATACAACAGCTGCTGGTGTGGCGGCCGCAACCCCTACACAACCGACCACTGGCGGGCTCGAAGCGATAGCAGCAACGCAGTCGGCAGCTTTGACGCCGCGCATGTGGACATTTGCTATGGCCACACCGACCCCAGCAGGATTGCTGCTCACTGGAGGAGCGCCAACAGCTGCGATGGGCTCAGCGCCACTACAGCCAGCGACCACACCGTTTGAATTTGTACAGTATCCGCTGGGATATGGAGCGATGCAACAGCAGCAACCTTTGCAAATGGCATATGCCTCACCAATGGGACCGGTAACATTTGGTAGCCGATTCACATTACCGCAATGTTACGGTGCTGAGATGAGTGAAAACCCACTCAATCGAACTAATACCACAGAAGAAAAATTGCCTGGAAAGTCCCCTAACACTGCTCGAGAGGTTAGCGCAATGCAAAAGCAGCGCCTAGCAAAGCAGTCTGATGCCACCACACAACGCGGCGAGGGCATTGAAGGCGGATCTGAGGATGAAGAAAAATCGAAAGCTTCGCAAATACCAGAACATCTACCCGCTGATGAACAGCTAGAGCAGGAGCAGCATTCGGGCCAACCCATGTCAGATAAACATACTGAAACTCAAGTGACGACTGCATCCGGTGCGCCCCTCGACTCTACTAGTGATGTCACTAGGAGTATGTCCGAAGTTAAACTTGAAGACGATGACGACAGCGTGCGCAGCTATGTGCCTTATACAGGATGGAAGGATGAAACGAATAAACCAAAGTTCAATGCAAAAGCTTCAGAAAGACTAGAAGAAACTTTCACTAAACCAGAAACTCAGCTGAATGCCACAAACACTCGGCAGAAGTTAGGCCCAGTGAAGTTGCACACAGCAGAAGAGCACAGACGAAAGTTTGCGGAAATTGAGAACAAGTATGGTATTGCAGATGAAACCAATGACATGGAGGACGAGAATCCTTTGCAGGAATATAAACCCTTCTCCGAGATTATTAAAGAAACCAACGCCAGAGAGCAGCAGCCACCAGTTGTCGAAGTTTCAGATAATAATTCATGGCAATCACACTCGGGCTCAATGGAATATACACCGAAGCCATCAACGTCCAGCACATCGACTGAGCAAAAGCCTGTCTCCATTGATAACATAGAAAATGCTATTTACGGCGAGTTGGTAAACCCACAATTGGACGACTCTACACCGCCGACTGTGCGAACTGCCGCGCACGGTTTCTTCACCGAACTACTTGGCCAACAAGAACCGGCCAATTCTGACGAAATCAGTGGAAATCAGCATGAAAACACCACTACCAAAGATGCAATAGAAACTCAAAACCTTCCAGCAAATGCAGATAATATGGGATATGCCAATTATAG